ATATCTATTACTATAATTTGGCTCATCTTGTGTGTGTGTGTGTGTGTGTGTGTTTGTTTGGCCTCGCTTTTCGCCTGAATTTGTCACTCAATCGCGCCTAACTGAAGATATATTCAGAATCACCACGTCTGGGAATGGTTCTGGCTGAGAAAAAAGTTAAAAAGTTTAAGTATTAAGTATTAAGTCAAAAATTCCGAAAAAAATTGCATTCGCAATAGATGGCAGTGCGTACGCCAGATTCCACATCACATACGTGCGAATTACACTGCGTCCTCTGACTGTCGCCGTATGAGCATATTCAGAATCACCACGTCTGGGAGATGTTCTGCGCTCAAACAAAATAGGATGGTGCTACGTCTCAGATTCCCCCCCTACTGCAGATTCCCCCCTGCTCACTCTGCTTTGACGTTACACCGTATGACACGTATGTCAGTGGCCAAGTAGTGTGCCAGTGTTCTGTTTGCTACCCCAGTGCCGTGCGCTTTTCTTTCAGTTACATGGAAATATTTAACTTTATCTGTGTCACTTACATGGAGTTTATATAAAGACAACATTTGCTGGTTCTTACGGTTTATACTTTCTGCTAGATATATATTAAGAGTTGTTAGGCCGAATTCTTGGTGTAGATGTGTTCGGTATAACTAGAGAACTCCAAGCCTAGAGAAACTAAGATATTGTCTCAGGAATCAGCACGTTGGAGGTGGTTCTGGCTGAAACAAACAATTAATAATAAAGTTTAAAAGTTAAAAATTCATAATAATGAATTTACTTGATCTGAATAGATGGCGGTCACGTACGATACACACAACATCACGTCTGAATCACATGGTGTATAAACTTAATATGCGGCCAGTGGCTCCGGGATGGCAGTTGAATGTGATGCAGATGTGGATGGGATGGGGATGGGTTTCAGGAAGATGGGATTGTGGATGGCATGGAATGGGATGGATGGATGGATGGGATGCAAGATAGATAGATAGATAGCATAGTTACATTTCCTGTTTTCCTTTTTTTCCTGTTTATCCTACTCTCTTTAGTATGTATTATTTAATTTTAGCATTATTTTGCATGTTTATTATTAATTAAATTTAATATTTTTTGTTTATTAATTATTTATTATTTGTAATGTCTTTTTATCTGTTGATTTCTTATTATTTGTTTCTGTTTGGCGATGGGATGGATGGGATGGGGATGCATGGCCATGGCCATGCGCATGCGGGATGCGATGGCGATGGGATTGCGGATGGGGATGGGATGGATGGCATGGCATGCATGGGACTGGCAACTGAATGTGCATGAGATGGGATGGATGTGGATGGTATGGGATGGATCGTGCGATGGGTGGGGATGGCATGGCATGAAATGGATGGATGGAATGCGCCATGAATGGATGGAATGGATGCATGCATGGATAGATAATAGTCTCGATTTTTTGCGATGATTTCCTTTCAACCCAAGCCGGCACTCACCCAGACTTTAATTACTGACTATAATAACTTTCGACCTCGTCGCCCGAAGATTCGGAGTCAACCACTTTCCTCCCACCACAAGGAAGCCACTCTCCTGCCACCGTGAGTCAGCCACTCTCCTCCCACCACGAGTCAACCACTCTCCTCCCACCACGAGTCAGCCATAAAATATGCTGATGCCCACAGTAGGAGCTTACTTTCACCCAGTATTCACATTAGCTTTAGCAGATATCTACTACCAGACCAACGTGCCAACCATGTAGCGAATTCTTGCTAGATGACCTGGTGCCATACCAATCCATTTTTACCCTTATATAGTTTATTAGTTCCCACTAACAATGACACAGAACGTCATTTAACAGAGTGCTACGAAATATATTTATGTTATAAGTAGTAGCAGGAAATGATCTAATACGCCAGGAAATGTTGTTTATTTAAAAAGTCAAGTGTAAACAATCAACAGGGCTTGGGACATTATTGTGACATAATTATTTTTGTTATTTACATGCTTACAAAATCCAATATGGCATAACAATTACTTAGCCTCCAGTTCTTTGGTTCACCATTGTAACGTTTTTTTAGCAGTGAATTACTCAAAGTTCTGTAGTTTGGCCATTTCTTGGTGAAGCAAAAACAAAACAATAACATAAAGGAAAGTCCGATCAGTCACGGGAGACTCTTTGTGACCCATTTAACATTTCTTGGAGTCTTAGTTTTGGGTCGCGATCCACTGGCTAAAACCTACTACATTATATACTTGGTCCTTCTATACTTGAATACTGCTCTTATATCACTATCACTATCATCAACATATCCATATACCCATTACCATATTTAATTGAAATAACAACATATAATATTGAATATCTGAATTCTTATTAATTGCTGTTCCATTATCAATAGTTTACTTGGCGTACACTTCATATGAACAATGAAAGTGTCAATGACACTGTAACTCACCTTGGGTGTGATAGAAATATTTTTTGTTTATAAATTATTTTTATTTGTAATGTCTTTTACCTTTTGATTTCTTATTATTTGTTACTGTTTGGGATGGGATGGGATGGCATGGCATGGCATGGCATGGCATGGCATGGCATGCGGTGCGATGGGATGGGATGGGATGGGATGGGATGGGATGGCATGGCATGGCATGGGATGGCACTGAATGTGATGAGATGGGATGGGATGGGATGGGATATGGGATGGGATGCGGTGCGATGGGATGGGATGGCATGGCGTGAAATGGGATGGGATGGAATGGCATGGAATGGGATGGATGGATGCATGCATGGATGGATGCATGCATGGATAGATAGATAGTTCGATTTTTTGGGATATTTTCCTTTCAACCAAGCGGTCACCAGCTGAGTAACGCCACTGATTTCCCCGGGCAACGCCGGGTATCCCGCTAGTTCAACATAAAATAGAATTCAGAAACTGTATCGATCTTAAAGGTGGGGTATCCTGTCACAACCTATAGCAGGTTCCGCCAGCCATAGCTAGTTGCTTGTAGTTTTCACGAAGGGACAAGTCTAATTGCACAGTCTATTGTAACATATGTCATGTTCTGATTGGCAGAAATTAGATAAAATTATGTCAATGGTAAATAAGAAGAAAAATGGGAAGAAAGAACACGCTGGTGGTTAAAAGGTTAGAGATTGGTAAGTTGTTGTGGAGCATGGATGCTTGAATTACTTCAGGATTAATGACTACGTCCTATTTTTTACTTTGACTACTCTGAACTAGTTTCACACAATACAATTTTTATTGACACTAAAACCATACATTTCCTTTCACTTACAACTTATCACTTGGTTTCGTTTAAATTTTAGAATGTAACAGAATAAGCATATCTTTATATCGTATTCCAATTACACTGCGGGGGTACATACCCGATAAGAGCTAGTCTCGGTGCTGGCGCCTGGCTTACTGGCTTCCTCCTCTAGATGTTGCTTATGCTGGGACTTTTTCGAAAATAAGCCTCCCATGTCTTGTTGCTTGCAAGGATATGAGATGATCCTTCACAAAGAATAATTAGCAAGGCATTTAGCAGCAATGACATGTGCTGCTTGCAGGTGTTAGTTTTGGGAAGTGATTAAAAAGCGAAGTCATTGACTTAAAAAGGTCATCTCAAACTCATTGTTTACATCATACCTGCGCTGCCAACAAATTAATGATTTTACCTTTATTTGCATTTGTATTTGTTAATACCCAGTCCCTAATACTTTTATACAGATATCACGCGATAACCTGCATATTTCTACCAGTGGCTGCAGCTTTCTGTAACTGGCAATCCCAGCTAGTCTGCAACTGCCGCTACCCCTGGCCACACAGCACTGCACAACGTTTATTCCCTTTATTGAACCGCTTGAAAGCCTTCAACTTTACAACCTGGGCATTGTGTAAATAAAGTGGGGCTCCTATTTACGATCGTGCGTGTGATATCCTGAGATAGACGTCTACATCGTATATCCATCAAACGCGTTAACGGTACAGCGACAGGTTCCGCCTCAAACGTATTATCCGACGACTCAGTTCTCTACCGGCAGATAACATCCTGACGTGTGAGTTGTGGAAACACTACCCACGCGTTAACCAGCACATGCACGTTCACACATATACGTGTGGACACATGATCCGCATTGCAAGAGTATATGCGACACTTTCCAAACTACAAAACAGCTATGCAATTTTCGGCAAGGCGGAATGTTAAATTAAAACGTACCTTGCAGTAACAAAGTAAATATACACGATCGAAGAACCATGCATCTACACAAGTTTACACGTTCGTCAGTAAACAACAGGTAGCGCATAAATAATATTTTTTATTTTGCACAGAGTTATCTGAACTGTCATCAGCTTTCAGCATAAGCACCAGCAGCATTTTCTAAAGGTACCCGCACCAACATCAGCATCACCATGCTGCACAGTTGCGCCTTGAGCATCGTTCAAATATATATATATGCGGTCGCAATCACACATTTTGTATACGCTAGTGCCTATAATATACCAGCATTCCTACCTATGCGGGCAGTTATAAATTGACGGAAGTATCAGCACAACAGCTATGCGTATAGGGAAAGGTAATTGACGTACCTGAGGTTTAATTAACTACTCTCGCTGCTGCCGTGTCAGTGATCTAGGCTCGTTATCCTGATTACTAAACACCACACCCGACTGTACAAATGGATTAATCCGGTCTAACTAGCCGATGGTAGTAAAACTAGTGGCAACATGCAAGCTAATAATAAAATGCCTGTAAGCTTGTCACTGCATAATTTATACAAAAGCATTTCAAACAAGCTTGTAATATATGCTTATAGCTTATAGCTTATGTACCTATCGTTTGTAATGTATCAATATGGTCTGCTATTCTATCCATGGGTGTATATAGAAAACTCATGTTGCGTTGAGGCAAAGCCATGCGCGGTTTGTGTTCTGTGAAGTTGACCGAGGACAATTCGCCATTGACCTTGTAATAGTATCTACATTTGCTTGGGGCAACTGCCCCCTCCTCCGCTAATCTATGAGAAACTTGCACGGTATCTCACAGCAATATCCTTACTATTGCACGTCGAGCGGGCACGTATCGAGGCATCGTTTATCCAGAACGCCTTCTTGATAGAAACTTCACAAATAGTTATGACATCATATAACTCTAAATTAGGATAGTTTTTGCATGCGAAGTGGTGCGCATAATTTTACAACTATTTATGATGTTTCTGCCAATAGGTTCCAGTAATTACGAAAAGACTACAGAACATTATTCCATTAATATTAGGTTAATTGTGTGACCTGTCATTAGACCACTTCTCAATAAACCGTAATTACATTACCTTAATTATATTAACATTATTTACATTAAGAATCAGCAGCATTTTCAAAAAGCATTTTCAGCATTAAGCTTATTTACATTGATCCATTGATTACATTGATCCATTAATAAATGGCTCAATAATAATTTATCCTTGCATCTGGGAAAAACAAAGTATTATTTTTGGAACTAAACACAAACTCAGGGATAATCAAAAACTGGACATCAGATGTAATGGGGTGGCAATTAAACATAAAAATACAGTTAAGTATCTAGGAATAGACTTGG